CACGTAAAAATTATCAATATTAAAAACACATCTACGAAACATCTTATTTATTTATTTATTCTTTATTGCACCAAATATTTGTACAAAAGGGGAGCTATCTATTTATTTACCTATAGTGAATAGGTATCTTTTAAACTCACAATTTTCAATGCTTCATTTTTAATATATAATTAATTATAAAATTTCATAATTAGATAATATATGAAAATACATAATTCTAATATAATGCAACTAATATACCGAATAAAAAAATTAAAATACATTTATCGTTGTACGCTGTGTGTATTTCCATAAATTAGTTTATTGATGCTGAAAAAATAATACTACGTTCTTACCTACAATAGGTGGCGTCTTACATATTTCATATTAAGCAATATATTGAAGCGAGCGGCGCGCCGCCGGCAAAATGCTCAAGGTCGTTCGCATGGAGTAGCCCCTTAATAGGAATACTAATAACGCCGGTAAGCAAAGTATCCTGAGCTTCAAGTAGTATAATAATAATTATTAATTTCTTAGAGAAAGGAGAAAGAAAAAAATTGTTTAATTTGTTAAATTTTGACCACAATTTAAAGAGCCTACTTTTACGTAAATGAAAGTTCATATCCCACTTCTAATGCGTCACTAATATCATATTTTATTTTCTTAATTGTACAAAATATCACTAAATCTAAACAAGGTTACAGATACTTATACATAATAATAACAATGTACATTAGACATACAGAATAACAAAATAAGTATGTATAACAATTCCTATCAATACTCATAATTTATCTTCCATGTACGTATTCTCTACACAACAGTTCTTGCAAAAAACTGTCCCACAAGTCGACGACATCTGTATTTTAGAGGCTTGTAATTTACCATTGTTAAACTACAGATGGCGCTGCTTGTTTGGTTTCCGTTACAAGTTTCCAATAAAATAGGATATTATTACGTGAGTTTTTACATTATAAAACATGATTTATATTTATTTTAATTATCGTAAACAGTGTTACATCATAGTTATAAATATAAGCGAAAATAAATAACTGAACTAAATCTAAAATATTAACGTACCCGCTATTGTAAGAAACTACTTATTGTAATGAATGACAATTTACGTGGTGATATAATGATGATGATTTACGTGGTGGCTCCTTAATACTAGCAGATAAATCATTATTATATAAAGAACGTAAGGATATAGTGAGCCTCTCTGGTGAGCGAACTGTAGAAATGGCTTGTGTCGAGCTCGAGCACCTTATAAGTAGGGTTATCTTATTTTAAAAGGATTGTGGAAAAAGTTTTGCTCAAACTTAGTAAACAGAACAAGTCCGTTGTAATATGTGGAGACTTTAACATCAATCTCCTTGAAACTTCTGCTATTAGTATTAAGTTTAGCTCGTTGTTTAAATCGTATAATATTTTAAATTTATTCTTAGAACCAACACGTATTGCTGGGCCTAGTGCAACCTGTAAAGATAACATTTTTACAGATGTTAAGCCCTTGCATAAATCAATTATTCAAAATTTAAGTTCAGATTACTGTGGACAGTTGGTATCATTGCCTTACATACACAAGAAACAGAAAAATGAGAAAGTTGTGTTTGTTCCAATAAATGAACATCGCTTGGAGAGGTTTAGAAGTAATATAATAAAAAGACTTCCATCACTTTCATTTAAAAATAGTGTTAATTATTTGTATGGTACGTTATGATTTATTATATTACGCAAACACTACACATTGAATAAAAGTAATTTTTAGGGATTTTATCGCGTTTAATTAACTTATTTTATATTCCCGACGTTTCGGTTGCTTTCCAGCAACCATGGTTACGGGGGACTGAGGTGATTGACGTCCCGATGTCAGAGTTAACTCGGAGTACCTTCAGCTTTTTAATTATTAATTTTGGTCCGATCTCCGCAGAATGAACTTACTGTGTCTTGAAGTCTTGCAGTGGTATGCTTGGGTTTAGTTTTAATTTTATGAATTATAGGATCCCAAGCAGGTGGTAGTACCCAGCCTCCCTCTCTATTGAAATTAGGATGTTTTTTAATTTCAATAGCCTCACGTATCATCCTTGGCAGGATTCGATGTTCTTTCGCGAGAATTTGTGGTTTATCAAATCTAATGTAATGGCGGGGGCCGTCAAGGATATGATCACAAACTGCAGACTTCCCGGAACGTTGGCGCTTCACGTCAGCTATGTGTTCTTTTACGCGGGTTTTTATTGATCGTTTTGTTTGCCCTATATACAAGAGACCACACTCACAATCAAGTTTATACACTCCTGCATCTTGTAGAGGAATGTTGCACTTGACGGATGGTAAGAACTGACTAATCTTCTTCGGTTGCTTGAAGAATGTTCTAATAAAAGCTCGCTTCAAGATGTAGCTAATCTTGTCTGTGACACCTCTGACATATGGTAGTACAGCAGGCACACGCTCGACTGTGGCCGGCTTCACTCGGTCACTGTGACGTAGGCGCGGGACCCGAAGCTTGTTGTCGTGCAGAACCTGCTTGACGTGCTGAAGCTCGGCGGCCAGGTGTTTGCTGTCACAGATCCCTCGTGCTCTCTGTAACAAAGATTTGCCCACGGTAGCTAACTGTGAAGGATGATGGTGGGATTCACCGTTTAAATAACGGTTTGTATGGGTCTTTTTTCTATACCAGTGTGACCTATGGTGTTATTAGGATTTCGAATGATTAACACATCTAGGAAAGCTAAAGAATTATTTGCCTCTAACTCCATAGTAAATTGAATTTTAGAGTTAATGGAATTAAGATGTTCTAAAAATGCAGTTACTTTGTCTGATGGTAAAATTGTGAAAGTATCGTCTACGTACCGCTTGTAGAAACTTGGAGTTACTGGTGCAGTTAGCAGGGCTTTCTCCTCAAAGTCCTCCATGAAAATATCGGCGACATTGGGAGATACCTGTGAGCCCATCGCAACACCATCTACTTGCTTGTAAAACTCTTCCTTCCACAATAGATAGCCAGAGATGTAAGGCAACGTCTGAGCAATACTGCATATTCTGCTGGCATGTTGTTTTCCCTTAGTTTCCTAGTTACAATTGAGGTGCAGTCGTCAACAGGTAGGGATGTAAATACAGACTGAACATCAAAACTGACCATAGTTTCATTGTAAGACATAGGTCTTTTATCTCACTGACAAAATGGTATGAATCCTTAGTGTGTGCTCTTGTGTGTCCTCTGAGTGGTGATAGTACTTTTTCTAGGTGTTGAGCCAATCTGTAAGTTGGTGAATCGATCTGACTCACTATTGGACGTAATGGAGGGTTCGGTTTGTGTATTTTACCACTTGAAAAGGGACATCATCCAGCTTCTTGATTCGGCTGCGAAGGACCACTTGAAAAGGAACGTGGACTCAGCATTCAACAGCTGATTCCTTGATCCTGAATCTCCTATGACGCCTACATTCGGTTCAGGAGATCAACGAGGCGTATGTGAACCCCGTGAAGGAGTATCACACGAGAGTGTCCGCCGCTTCCTTTTCTTAAAATAGGTTCTTCCGAGGAGTCTTCCGAGGTCGTCCCGGTCCCAGCGCCTTAATTCTTCAATATGTACTACGTTAGCAGCACAAGGTGGACTGTATTAATATTTAAAGGTGAAGGATCCCTTGGGAATAAAACAGCAATTATCTTCAAACCGCTCCGTGAGAGAGTAATTACTTTCCCTATCACTTGCCCTAGATGTTTTTCTTTCTTGATTATATATTATACTTGTAGCTGGTCCCGAACGATTTGTATCGACATCGGTGTTCTTCTCCTGTTGGTTCACCTTCTGGGGACAGGAGGTTTTACAGGTCTCGAGGTGTCCCCCTCTACCTGGGTATCATCGCGGGTGGCAACGGCTCCCCCGGTCCTGGGTGCTGCGATTGTGCACAACTTGTACGTTGGTGTGTTGCGCACTACACGCCATCAGATCGGGCGTCGGGACTCTCACTCGTCCCCGGCGTCCCCGTCGCCGGGCGGTGAGCGTAGAAGTTCATGTGGGAACGGCCGCCCATCAGGTGGGCGGGTATGGAGTGGAGCTAAATTTTGTAGGTGTGGATGTGGCCCGTTATCTGTGCGGTCGAACAACCGTCTCGCAGTACGGCCCACGAAGTCATGAATGGTGGCCGCAGGAATCCAAATTCTAAAAAAGAATTTGGATTCCCGCGGCCCCGCGTGCACGTGCGAGGAGACACCGGGGTGGTTTTAGCCGGTAAGAGTCCGGCACGCCCTTCCGCCTTTCCCCAGGCGGAGGTAGTCCATGAGGATTTTCCCCCGAAAAAAAAAGGTAAGTCCAACTTCGACCGAGAAGTCAATCGACGGATTCAAGTCGGCTGGGCAGCTTTCGGGAAATTACTGGTTTCTTGTTGGTTCTTCCCAGGACAGAGGTTTTTTCGAACCAGTGGTAAAGTAAAAAATTACTTTCAATAAGAATAACATGTAATGTATATTGAAGAAAAAATATTATTGTATTATATAGTGTTTAATATATTTATTTTAAAAATAGAAGCTTTAAATACTTTTAAATTAAATCAAAATATGTACATGCACACCTATTTTTTCATACAAATACTTGCTCTATAAGGTATTTGAATCCCGAACTTGTGAAGCAGGTGCTCTTATATATTTGTATAATTAAGTCATGAAGTCGGAAGCAGTGATAAAGGCAGTATAATCTTTAAATTTATCATTACTCCATAGTACAGGGTTCGTAATTTGTTCACAATATCTTTACAAAGAAATCACTGAATTGAGTTCATTTGTAATCGTGCAACCTGTTTTGCGTAACAGATGGAGTGAATTTATGTGATAAAATCAAAACATCTTTTCAGCTTGAAAATACGCTTTGAACGCGAAACTCAAATGTCATTGTATTTTCCCATTTCTATTACAACTGTAGTTTTGTGCGTGTAGTGATATTTTTTGCTTGCCATACTTAGAAATAATATCAAATGAATCTATGTATAAGATTATAATAAAAAAATTTTTTTGTGCTTGGACAGAACATGGCGCAGCTCACTTGTGGGGGGCTAATAGTGGCCGGCGTGGTTGGAGTCGGAAGAGGACTTCAGCGCCGCAGATGAGTAATACCCATGGTTCGATGCCGCGTGTGGCACTCGTGCTGCGTTCACGTCGCAGTTGGCCAGTCGCGCCTCAATCGTATCGCAGGTACATATAACGAAATTTTACCTTTTTAGTTTATTTTTGTAACATTAAGGGCTGCATTATTATTTGGGTAGTCTTCCTCGAACATATCAAAAACTAAAGCTATCAAAAAGAGTAAACTAAAAGCTTGTATATTTATTAGGATCGGCAACGATTGATACGTTATTACACCGATAAAGAAAATTTATGGTAGGTTTATTTCTAAATGTACAATCACTTAAAGTTAATCACAGCATGCTCATATATTTAAAGTTGTGTTATTTACTTAACCTAAAAAATCTTAAAGTGACTTTGTTAATGTGTGTTTGTGTGTGTGCGTGCGTTCGTGCGTGCGTGCTTACGTCCGTGTGCATGCTTATGTGTGCGTGTTTTTTTATTCAAATCCCATGAGGTGCTTCATGTACTTACAATGTAAATTGAAATTAAATAGATAGCACCTGTTCCATAAACAATGAATCGTTTAATGCATAGAAATTCTATATGATGTAAGATTTTTAAAATTGATCAATGAAATTGCTGTAAATGTATTTTTTTTCATATTCCATTTCATAATATTGTACGTTTTCTAATCTGATTTTTATTTTAATTTCTTAAATAAACAGCAGATAGATTCTATATCTAGACGCATGGCCTTGAGTAAGGAAGTCCGGAAAAGAAAAGGGCGACGCACCGATAGTAGTGTGTATATACGAGTATTTACAAGAACCATTACAAGCCGCTTTCAAATCCCCACACACTGGTTATTTTGCACACATTAAAAACTCTGTGAATTCTTTAAATCTCAAATTTTATGAATAAGCTTGATACATGATCTTCATGAGTTATTAAGGTCCGAAAAATACTATTTATCATTCACTAATTCACTCATTAAAACCCCAAGCTTTTTATAGGTTAATTCAATATCATTATTTGTGCCCTTCACAAATCCACGGCTTAACATAGGCCCTAAAAGAATGTCACAAAGCACGATCCTGAGCCACCTGAATTAATCGACTTCCTGCATATCTTACTCACACTTGGGTGTGGCTCCAACGATGTTGCGTAGAACCTCTCAATCTCGAAACGATGCTACCATATTCGGTCTTCAGTTTCGACAGTTGACTCTTTCTGGCGGACATATCTCTGGCAACTAGGTTACTTAAAAACTTGAAATTTGGCATTAGGCGCATACAATCGAAAAATTATTGACAAAATTATTGGTACGGTTAGTTCTAAGTATTGATTCTAATTTATTGGTGCAGTTAATTTCATGTACAAAAATTAACCGCACCAATAAATTTGTTGACATTTAATTCTAAGTGTAAATTAAAAAGGAAACAATAAACCATAAATGTAAAAAAAAAATATAGGAGGTCAATTATCTGTTGGGATTTGGGAAGCTTGGCGCCCGTTCACATTTCAACTCAATCCGGAACATCGCTTGTACCTAACTAGGCCTCCTAGTCACAATTATGTTTTGGTAGGATTTGTATTACTTTTAAGTGGAGACTGATACGACAATTACGGGTGTTATCACCCTAGTTCAGTCACAATATTTTTTTATTCACCCATTAGTCGAAAAAAAATCTATATTTTTTCGAATTTTGTCGTAAAACACCGTCATAGTTTATACTATGAATCGTTTAGTTTATTACGAAACTAACACCCGAAGTAGTTTTATAGTACTATTATTTGTTACTTTATCACCGCTAGTATGGTCAGGGTATTAGAGATAACATAGCTTGTACTCGTAAATGCTGTAGGGTGAAAGTAATGGTTTAAATAAACTGTAGGGTGAAGCTACATGCCTGTCAATCCTATCATTAATAATCGGTACTACTTAAAAGTAAAACATTAAACGAGGTAGAATTTATTTGATGATCTTTAAAATTTGAGGAACATTCAGCACTCTAAACGACGCTTGCAATGAATAACGTTGAACATTTTGCTGAATGAACAAAGTCCATGAATAGTGATTGTGACTGACAAGTCTCATTCAGCTCTAATTAAAACAGATGCTTACCATAATCGTCGATGAATAATGATGACCGTTTACATAAATGCGCGAAGGGTTTTAAGGTTTAATTTCTATCATAGTTTTGCGGGCATCAATTAATGTTATTTGTAAACAAAAGAAACATTTTAAGCTATGATTTTTGATTATCATTATTATCGACTCGCAACTTGTCCATTACGCAATACAAAGTGAAAAATGAAAAGTATGTTTATAACGGATGGAATACGGAAATATTTGGACGTAGTTATACAAAAACGTCAAACCACAAGTCATTCAAAAATGAGTATGAATGATGAATTAAATATACAGATCTACTTATTTTGAGATGTGAAAATAAGTAGATCTGTATATTCAACTCATTTTTGAATGTCTTGTGGGTTGGAACGTTTTTGTATAACTACGTCCAATTATACTTGGTGACTGACTCCTTTTCTGCATAGGAGTCCGCATGGGTAGGTACCACTCTCTTACCTATTTCTACTGACAAACTGTGTGTTCCGGACTATAGAGTTTAGAGAGCCAGTATAAGTACAAGCTATCAGACCTTCCTTCTTGCTCTTCAGACGTGATTTCGCATCTGTAACCTTCTTTAAGTAAGTTCTTCTTCTTCTTTTAAATCATGGCTTCTCTTGATGGAATTCTACCAGTATCAAGTCAGTTATAGGAGTGACAAGTAAACATTTATTACATTAAAGAGTTAGAAAGAGGTAGAGAACAAGAAGAGAGGTAGAGACATTTTACGAGTGGGTTAAAAATCTACAACAAAGGACGTCACATTTTAAAATACCATCACCAAAATTGATTAGTTATTTTACAGATTAATATTATTAGTACGAATAAAATCACACAAAATATTTACAAAAGGAGTATACACTAGGGATACGGGACGTAATTGGGCAGGATATCATAGTGAGAGTGAGAAAGATCAGGACACTCAAAGAACAGATGATTTACTTTAAGTAAGTTTGTTATTCACTTCAGTTTAATAAAAATAATGTGGCAAACGTGTTGACATTACCGGCACATCTTTACTCAGATTTTTATACCTTAGATGATTCTGTAACTTCTATCCGTTACTCATTTTAATATAGACCTTTCCCGTTGTAATAGGATTAACCGTCACGCTCGACAGGCGGTGTGATGATCGAAGTGATTTTACAGTATCGGAAGCCATAAAATTTTTCTGACATTCAGAAAAACAACAGAGTAGCGCCTCTACGACACCCACGGGACGAAATGGAGTGAGTTCTCTTACGCCGTTACCACACGGCGCCGGCCACAAAGCGCTTTATGAATAATACCACTAAGTACACAATATATGGTAATGTGTGTAAATTACTAACTTTGTAAAAACATAGCTACTGAACCTAATTAAATTTTTATAAACTGGTTATTTAAGTGTAATATTTTAGTTTAGATTTAAACTGTTTCTTTTTTTATTTGCATTTATAATTTTCTTTTTATATGTATATGTACATCATCATTCATCAACATTACATCCCTTCACGGATATGATAGGTTAGCTAATTACGTAATAACTTGAGACAGAAGGACCCTTAAGTAGGGACTGAATAAATAACCGACTTGCTATTATATGGATCTAACAACTTTTTACGGTAAAACTGAATTGCAAAACTTGGCTTTTTTACAAGTTATGTTTTTGATGGCATTATTTATTTATTTATTTATTTTATTACTAGCAAACCCGCGTATCTATGATTTCCCTAAATATAAGTAAAAGTAAAGTTAATACGCGAGGGTATTGAAATTGAAAAACATTATAATTTCAATAGAGAGGGAGGCTGGGTACTACCACCTGCTTGGGATCTTGTAATTAATAAAATTAAAACTAAACCAAAGCATACCACTGCAAGACTTCAAGACAGAGTAAGTTCATTCTGCGTAAATCGGACCAACATTAATAATTTAAAAAAAACTGAAGGTACTCCGGGTTAACTCTGACATCGGGACGTCAATCACCTCAGTCCCTCGTGATCATGGGTGCTGTAAAGTACCCGAAACGTCGGGAATCAATACAATAAAATAAGTTAATTAAACGCGATAGAATCCGTAAAAGTAGTTTTATTCAATGTGTAGTGTTCGCGTAAATATAAGAAATCATAAAAGTAAAGTTATTTTATTTCGTTTTCAAAATATTACGACCGAAAACCACTATCAACAAAACTATGCTCTATGATTGTTACTTAACAATTTTTTAATACTAACTAAAGCAACTTTGCATCACATTGCAATGTATTCATTTTTATAAAGCCGTGCAAATCAATTATTTTTAAAAAATATAAAAGATAACTATATAAAAAATAAATGTAAATGTATCCTCGATATGAATTCTTACGTAATTAATAAAGTTTGCCCCCTATTCTATAAAAAAAAAATAGAGTTACCTAACTCTTATTTTATTTTATTTTTTTAATTTATTTCTTCAATACATATTTTTGGTAAAGGTGGGTTATGTTTTTCAAGTTTATGCCTATATGCGTATACGTACACCTATGCATATACATATACGCATAGGTTAACCGGGGAAGTACTGCCACCATGCCTATTTCTACCGTGAAGCAGTAACATACTGTATTTCGGTTTTAAGTGAAAAATAAAGGCAAGGATGGAAAGTCTCATGATTTTCCATCCTTGTTTCTGAGTGGTGCTATGCAGTATTTTTATAAAAATTTAATATTTTTGTATTGCTCATGATAAGGTATCATATACTTATAACATTACCTGAACCACATTAAGTCTCAGATAGTTATGTTTTGGAATATAGACATTTATTATTTACATAAAATGATAGCAAATATAATTTTGTACCTATTTACTTAAGTGTCTTTTTATGTATAGCTTGTAGTAGGTAGTGTAGAGGCAGGATCTTTGATTGTTACTTTATTTGTGAATTTTCAGCTAAATATTAAATTTAAGTAATTAAAAAAAGTTTTGCATTTAAGATATTTTAGTACAAAGGTAATAATTATTTCTAGATTTATTAAGCGTTTTTTTTA